GCAAGCAGCCCATCCCTGAGTGAAAGTACTTTCTACATCCTTCTTTCCTTAGCCCGCTGTTGCACTCTTAACAGTTCCTCATACTTCTTCATTAAAGTCTAAGCAAATGTCCAACCTTGTAACCGCACAGAAATGTCAGTTTGCGTAAGAATTTTGTCTTCCAGAATTGCAGCGTTCTTCAGTACGTACTTCAACGCATACGACGCCTTCATGAGACTCTGAATCGAAAAACCATTCCAGATGGTTGTTCCTCAAAGCATTCATTACTCACTTTCTCCCTCAATTTGATAATAATTTATAATTTCACGTTGAAACAACTCTTACTGTCCGCCATGAACATCTGTTACAGACTACTTGGATGCGTGTTGCTTCACAATGCTAATGTGTTTGTTCAGATAACAATTATCAGCCGTATGCATAACCAGAACGTCTCTGATTTGTGATTACCATTGCGTTCACAACTTTATGACACTTTTCTACAAGGCATTAGCTACTACATTACAAAACGAAATATTTCTCTCCAAAAGCAGGTCTGACTCTGCGCTGTTTCTCCATGTTGCAGGATGACCTTTCGGTCAGCGTATGTTAACTGCGAGTAATCGTTTTGGCAAATCTGATGTGGAAAGGGCACCTCTAAAAATATTCAGAACTTCGTGCCATCCAATTTGAACGGAAAAACTAGGTTCGGCAGAGGGAAGAAAGCTTCTTCATTTCTCTCATTTAACCTTGTATTATTTACTGTTTTACTTTAGGTTTTTTGCATAGCGATCACTAGGAGTACAGACTAATCGAATACTATTGGATAGAAACATACTCAGTTCTCTAAGAGTGCTCCATGCCGTTTATGTTCGTCTGTCGATGTCACATTATCTGCAAAAATGAGCCATGTCAGATGGAAGTATTTTTGCAATTCGTCAGTCCTACGCCCGTTGGCTTCAACAATCAACAGGTCGCCCGGTCACATTTTGCTAAGCATGATCGAAGTCTTCCTTAGGTTCATTTTCAGCCATATTTTGACGTTAGCTTCGTTCAGCTGTTGATTTTTTTTCTCAGAGATTTTTTGGTAATTTTAGGAAGGTCATAATGTCCTCCGTAAACCACAGATGGCACAAACGGTGCCAATTTATGCCCATCCAAATATTTTTCCAACGGATTGTCCTGCAGAGCTATTTTTATGCCTGCAGACTGAGTCGAGGGCCTTCTCGAAATCGACAAACGCCAGGCAGAGAGGTAGCTGATATTTATTGCTTGTCGGAATTTCTTGTTGTACTACCTGAGGACGATCCGCTGCACAAAACCGACTTCTGAACCCTGCACACTCCGTTTTAATGGCTACCTCTGATTTTTCTTGAAGTGCGTTAAT